TTAGGGAATGTGTTACAGGTACATATGTCGTTAGGGAATGTGTTACAGGTACAGACGTCGTTAGGGAATGTGTTACAGGTACAGACGTCGTTAGGGAATGTGTTACAGGTACATATGTCGTTAGGGAATGTGTTACAGGTACATACGTCGTTAGGGAATGTGTTACAGGTACATACGTCGTTAGGGAATGTGTTACAGGTACAGACGACGTTGGGGAATTATTACCGCTACATATGTTGATAGGGAATGTGTTACAGGTACATACGTCGTTAGGGAATGTGTTACAGGTACAGACGACGTTGGGGAATGTGTTACCGGTTCCTACGTCGTTAGGGAATGTGTTACAGGTACAGACGACGTTGGGGAATGTGTTACCGGTTCCTACGTCGTTAGGGAATGTGTTACAGGTACATACGACGTTGGGGAATGTGTTACAGGTACATATGTCGTTAGGGAATGTGTTACAGGTACAGACGACGTTGGGGAATTATACCGCTACATATGTTGATAGGGAATGTGTTACCGGTACATTCGTCGTTTGGGAATGTATTACCGGTACATACGTTGTTAGGGAATGAGTAACCAGTATATACGTCGTTAGGGAATGCATTACCGGTACATACGTCGTAAGGGAATGTATTACCGGTACAGACGTCGTAAGGAAATGTATTACCGGTACATACGTCGCTAGGGAATGTGTTATCAGTACAGAAGTCATTAGGGAATGTATAATCGCTACATATGTCGTTAGTGAATGTATTACCGGTACAGACGTCGTTAGGGAATGTGTTACAGGTACATACGACGTTGGGGAATGTGTTACCGGTTCCTACGTCGTTAGGGAATGTGTTACAGGTGCAGACGACGTTGGGGAATGTGTTACAGGTACATATGTCGTTAGAGAATGTGTTACAGGTACATACGTCGTTAGGAAATGTGTTACAGGTACAAACATCGTTAGGGAATGTGTTACAGGTACAGACGACGTTGGGGAATGTGTTACAGGGACATATGTCGTTAGGGAATGTGTTACAGGTACATATGTCGTTAGGGAATGTGTTACAGGTACAGACGACGTTGTGGAATTATTACCGCTACATATGTTGATAGGGAATGTGTTACAGGTACATACGTCGTTAGGAAATGTGTTACAGGTACATACATCGTTAGGGAATGTGTTACAGGTACAGACGACGTTGTGGAATTATTACCGCTACATATGTTGATAGGGAATGTGTTACCGGTACATTCGTCGTTTGGGAATGTATTACCGGTACATACGTTGTTAGGGAATGAGTAACCAGTATATACGTCGTTAGGGAATGCATTACCGGTACATACGTCGTAAGGGAATGTATTACCGGTACAGACGTCGTAAGGGAATGTATTACCGGTACATACGTCGCTAGGGAATGTGTAACCGGTACATGCGTCGTTAGGGAATGTGTTATCGGTACAGACGTCGTAAGGGAATGTATAAACGCTACATATGTCGTTAGGGAATGTATTACTGGTACAGACGTCGTTAGGGAATGTGTTACCGGTACCTACGTCGTTAGGGAATGTGTTACCGGTACATACGTCGTTCGGGAATGTATTACCGGTACATATGTCGATAGGGAATTATTACCGCTACATATGTCGTTAGTGAATGTATTACCGGTACATACGTCGTTAGGGAATGTGTAACCGGTACATACGTCGTTAGGGAATGTGTAACCGGTACATACGTCGATAGGGAATGTATTACCGGTACATTTGTCGTTAGGGAACATTGGCCCTGATGACCTCTTCTGTGTTAATGTGGCGTTAATGTACGTAGCCTACGTATATCAGATACCAATACCTACATGTACGTTACTATGGTGCCAGATATCCGTGTAAATGTTATAAAGGATCAGATATCGGTGTGTATGTTACGTTGTTAGAGTACCTGCTATCAGTACCTATAAATATATACTAGAGTAACAGTACGTTACTAGGATTCTTAGTGATAGTACCTAGGGTAACGTATAATGATGTTTACTTTTCGAGAGTACCTGATACTAATACATATATATACGTACGTTGCTCGGGTACCAGATATCGGTTTGTACGTTGCTAGAGTACCTGATACCAGTACCTATATATACGTACGTTACTAGGGTACCAGAAATTGGTGTGTACGTTGCTAGAGAACCTGATATCAGTACCTATATTTACGTACGTTGCTAGGGTACATTATCCAACTTGAATGTTACATATATCAGTGTGTGCGTTGCAAGGATACTTACTACTATTACCTATATACTTTACTAGGGTAACGTATATTGGTGTGTACGTTTCGAGAGTACCTGATATCAGTACCTATATTTACGTACGTTGCTAGGGTACTAGATATCGGTGTGTACGTTGCAAGGATACTTACTAATATTACCTATATACTTTACTAGGGTAACGTATATTGGTGTGTACGTTTCGAGAGTACCTGATAGCAGTACCTACATTTACGTACGTGGCTAGGGTACTAGATATCGGTGTGTACTTTGCAAGGATACTTACTAATATTACCTATAGACGTTGCTAGGGTAACGTATATTGGTGTGTACGTCGCTGGAGTACCTGATACCAGTACCTATAGTTACGTACGTTACTAGGGTACCAGATATCGGTGTGTACGTCGCTCGAGTACCTGATACCAGTACCTATATTTACTTACGTTGCTAGGGTTCCATATATCGGTGTGTACGTCGCAAGAGTACAAATGTTTTTGATACAAAGTTTTATGACTGATCATGTCGCTAAAACCTGTCATGTAAAAAACATCTCTCAATATCGAAATTAAAATATGAATGAATTTCTAATGATAACTTGGCGATAGCAATGTCGTAAGCAGATAGAGAGCCGAATAAATATGTTATAAGTAAGAGCTAAAATGACGTAAATGTTAGATAGGATTCTGTAAGGTTTCACAGGTAGCAGGGAGCAATATTGTGACCTTGCTTTTGTCTGAAGTTTATTTTATTGAAACTTAGGAAACGATAGGCAATATCGCCACCTTATCAATGACTAAGTAGTCCCCTAGACAAATATTTAGCCAACTGTCGATACAGACGTCACTCGTACAGATAACACCGATAGGCGAGAGTTTAATTTTTAAGCCTAATCAATATGCTCATTGATAACGTGTGACCATACAACCTTAGATTTTCTGGTCGATCAATAAGGATCAATTCGGCCGTATCCATCATCCTGGTTAGGGCTCAAAGGACAACAATATAATATCCCAAATATTAATTTATATTTTTTTGGGGAATTAAAATTCTGAAAGTAACAAGGACAAAGTTTATGAGATGATACATGATAAAGCGGCAGCTTATTTAACGCTACTTATTAGAAGACATTGTATCAATACTAGTGTCTGTGGTGTGAGGGACAACAATATGACTAGGGAATGTGTAAGAACTTTAACACTTTAACAGTTTCTGTTGTGTGAGGGACAACAATATGACAGTTTCTGTTGTGTGAGAGTCAACAATATGACAGTTTCTGTTGTGTGAGGGTCAACAATATGAGTTTCTGTTGTGTGAGGGACAACAATAGGACAGTTTCTGTTGTGTGAGGGTCAACAATATGACAGTTTCTTTTGTGTGAGGGTCAACAATATGACAAATTCTGTTGTGTGAGGGACAACAATATGACAGTTTCTGTTGTGTGAGGGGCAACAATATGACAGTTTCTGTTGTGTGAGGGACAACACTATGACAGTTTCTGTTGTGTGAGGGTCAACAATATAACAGTTTCTGTTGTGTGAGGGTTAACAATATGACAGTTTCTGTTGTGTGAGGGTCAACAATATCACAGTTTCTGTTGTGTGAGGGACAACAATATGACAGTTTCTGTTGGGTGAGGGACAACAATATGACAGTTTCTGTTGTGTGAGAGTCAACAATATGACAGTTTCTGTTGTGTGAGAGTCAACAATATGACAGTTTCTGTTGTGTGAGAGTCAACAATATGACAGTTTCTGTTGAGTGAGGGTCAACAATATGACAGTTTCTGTTGGGTGAGGGTCAACAATATGACAGTTTCTGTTGTGTGAGGAACAACAATATGACAGTTTCTGTTGTGTGAGTGTCAACAATATGACAGTTTCTGTTGTGTGAGGGACAACAGTATGACACTTTCTGTTGTGTGAGGGTCAACAATATAACAGTTTCTGTTGTGTGAGGGACAACAATATGACAGATTCTGTTGAGTGAGGGTCAACAATATGAGTTTCTGTTGTGTGAGGGCCAACAATATGACAGTTTATGTTGGATGAGAGTCAACAATGCGATAGTGTCTGTTGGGTGAGTGACAACAATATGACAGTTTTTGTTGTGTGAGGGACAACAGTATGACACTTTCTGTTGTGCGAGGGTCAATAATATAACAGTTTCTGTTGTGTGAGGCACAACAATATGACAGTTTATGTTGGATGAGAGTCAACAATGCGATAGTGTCTGTTGGGTGAGTGACAACAATATGACAGTTTCTGTTGGGTGAGGGTCAACAATATGACAGTGTATGTTGGATGAGAGTCAACAATACGATAGTGTCTGTTGGGTGAGGGTCAACAATATAACAGTTTCTGTTGTGTGAGGGACAACAATACGGTAGTGTCTGTTGTGTGAGGGACAACAATGTAGGGTAGTGTCTGTTGTGTGAGGGACAACAATGTGACAGTGTCTGTCGTTTCAGGGACAACAATAGGGTAGTGTCTGTTACGTGAGGGACAACAATACGGTTGTGTCTGTTGAGTGAGGGACAACAATATAGGGTAGTGTCTGTTGTGTGAGGGACAACAATGTGACGGTTTCTGTCGTTTCAGGGACAACAATAGGGTAGTTTCTGTTGTGTGAGGGACAACAATACGGCTATGGAAGATATAGTGGGTCCCCAAAATTTGACGATTTCCACAGGGAAAGAATTGTTTACATTTGAACAGTGTTTTATTTTAACAATATTTTCTGTTGTAGCTTTGTCGCCCGTTGTTGGATCTGCGCATGCCCACATTGGTGACCAAGGCGGCCTTTACACTACCCGCCTTGGAAGACATGCCGCCTATCCACAAGAAGCTGAGAGGCTTAAAGCGTCTTGAAGCAAGCCCTCCGCGAAGTCTGCGAGACTTGAAAAACATTATCACCACTGAACTGACAAGCGTCGGGAAAAAACTGTCGCGACTGGAACGGTCTTATTACGGTGTTGGAAAGAGCGTGCAACATGAAGTTGACAAATACGTGATGGCGATAAAAGGAGCAATGCGCATGCTCACAATTTTTGATATGTCTTCCGTAACAGCCATTGAAAATGCCATAAAATCCGGAAGTGACCCGAAGCGGTACAAAGGTGACCCAAACAACATCACTCTGTTGAAAGAAGCCTATGCCAAAGTGCTAACGTATGTTCCTGACAAATTCAACGAAATCATTGAATACTGTAATAGAATTCTTACTGTACTGGAGAAATATTTTGTGAGTTTTTACGATACGGACTCGGATGTGTATCTGGAGACGGCCGCGCACTACGAGGAACAGTTACGGACTTGGCAGAAGAGCATCCGCGGGAGCTTGGAAAGGGTTCATAAACTTCAGAGGGACTTCAAGGCCGGTATGATACATTTCACAATGTTCACTCCCCCAGTTGCAAAATTTTGTAAAAAGAACGAATGTGAAAATGTCCCATTTATCCTAATTTTCGCTGATGCGTGTACGAACATTCGGGCGGTAATGACCGTGCTGAAAACGTGGCTTCAAGCAGACGAGAACTACCCTGTATTCCTACGCAACGATATTGATGATATGGAGAAACACAAGGAGGAAAAGGTCAAACTAATGCGTGACAGTAAACAAAGGTTCCACGCTGTGACTTATAAACTCAACCAAACCGAGATCGAGTGGGAAAAGGCGGCAACAGAAGTGGACAACGTGAAAGAAAAAGAAGAGGCACTCCGAATAGAGGCCGATTACCTTATAAACCTTAACGCGGAGTTACAGTCGGAAGTAGAATTCAAAGTATTTCGAAGAGACGAGCTCAAAAAGAACATTGCTGATTATTCACCGGAAAACTTCAACGAGACGTTCGATATGTTGACCGATGAAGTTCGATTTGCTAAAGACAGATTGCCTTTGGTCAAACGACAGTTAACCGCCGCCCAGTTTAAACTAGAATGGGTGGCAGAGAAAAGGACAAGCTTGGCAAAAATCGAAAAAGAATTGCAACAGTTAAGGCGAGATGCCAACGACGTGGATCAAGGGAGACAACAACGCGAGGAGGATGTTGAGAGACTTGTTAAGGCACTGGCACTGGCTAGACGTATACACAGGTACAAAACCAGTACGGATGTGGCGGAGAAGATCTATTTCTGTCTACCAATAGGACATCGACACCGAGCCCAATCTCTTCAGTCGCTCACACCAAGCGAAGGTAAGTAGATGCTCCGCATGTAAGCACCGTCTTCTTCTTCTCCCAAGCTAGGATTCATTTCGTTAACATGGCTTGATGATATGTCAAAGTCAAAACTGCATTGCAAGTTTCCAAATCTAATTTTAACGGCATTTATCCCAACACGTGTATCTAAAACAAGCGTAAAGGGGTGTATCTCCCGAGACATGAATAACAGTCTAATTATTATAAAGCATACAATTCAAAACGAGACACAACTTCATAAAATTGTAAACTGCCTTATCTTCAGACACGTCAATTTGTTAACTATCATGTCTTCTGAGACGCCAGCAAAGGATATGTTATCTGTAAAACGACAAAGAAAAATGTCAGGTTCGCGTGCCGCTCACTAAGCAATGCTATAAACTGATCATTTTTACCTTTCAGATACCTTGACGAAGGTTTGTGTGACGATATCCCACTACATTGATCTGGAGTGGATGGACCTATATCGGGAACTCCCATTCTTCCCTAAACGAGGTAAACAGACGATCGAGAAGGACATCAGCGCCATAAGTGTAGAGAGTGCCCGTGGCCCCCGTGAAAATCGCACTCTTATTGCACTGAACCGTTGGAGACGCCACCATACCCGGGCAAAGACAGACGACATAATGGAAACGCTGAAAAGGATAAGACGCTTGGACATTTTGACGGAAGTAGACAAGATCGTGAACCCTCCAAAGATCGTGGAGGAGGTGAAAGAGACTTACGTACCCCCATCAGTGGCACCGGAACTGGTCCCCTTTTATAGAGAGGTAGAGCGGTATGATAAACTTCGGGCGGCGCATAAAGTGAAGACAGGGCATCAGTAATTGGTTGCACCAGTAGTGCTGGAAGTTGAATCGACACCGGAACCAGTACTAACAAAAACGTTACGTTAAAAACATTTTACCTGTAACATTACGTAACTAATGATAGCTTCCACTTAGACACACGTGCACTAGATAACACATGAAGTATATGCGGGGTGAGGGGTGGGGTGGTTTAGTATACGTTTGTACATGCAGTACTGTCTTCTAGAAGGTTTCGTTATTGCTGACCCCTGGATACTGTGTGAATGGAATGGTGAATACACAAGGAACGTGTTCAACGGTGTATCTTACGTCCACGTGCGGTCCTTTAGTTGGATGAACATGGGGATCATTTATAGTTTAGTATATGTGTACAAATAATTCGAAGGTCAAATTCATTACAATATATACAACATGACCCTATGACCTACAGGGAAAATAAATTGCAATATTTCCAAAGTAATGCTGTCGTAGTATACATGACTAATTGTATTACAGTGTACACGTAGACTGTGTGATCTATAGAACAGCTTGTATGACAGTATATATACAGTGATATTTGTGTGATCTCTAGGACAGCTTGTATGACAGTATATACACAGTGATATTTGTGTGATCTCTAGGACAGCTTGTATGACAGTGTGTACAGAGTGATATTTGTGTGATCTCTAGGACAGCTTGTATGACAGTGTATACACAGTGATATTTGTGTGATCTCTAGGACAGCTTGTATGACAGTGTTTACACAGTGATATTTGTGTGATCTCTAGGATAGCTTGTATGACAGTGTGTACACAGTGATATTTGTGTGATCTCTAGGACAGCTTGTATGACAGTGTATACACAGTGATATTTGTGTGATCTCTAGGACAGCTTGTATAACAGTGTATACACAGTGATATTTGTGAGATCTCAAGGACAGCTTGTATGACAGTGTATACACAGTGATATTTGTGTGATCTCTAGGACAGCTTGTACGACAGAATTTACACAGTGATATTTGTGTGATCTCTAGGACAGCTTGTATGACAGTATATACACAGTGTTATTGTGTGATCTCTAGGACAGCTTGTATGACAGTATATACACAGTGATATTCGTGTGATCTCTAGGACAGCTTGTATGACAGTATATATAAAGTGATATTTGTGTGATATCTAGGACAGCTTCTATGACAGTGTTTACACAGTGATATTTGTGTGATCTCTAGGACAGCTTGTATGACAGTATATACACAGTGATATTCGTGTGATCTCTAGGACAGCTTGTATGACAGTGTATACACAGTGATATGTGTGTGATCTCTAGCACTTTACTGATGTTGAGAAGGCCAGTTCGATATTACTGAAGCGTACCTAAAACATTATCACGAAGATCCATAAACGGACATAGAACGAACCCTGCACGTGAACACCTCATCCATGACCTGTACAGAAATACTACTAAAGGGAAGCAACTGGGAGATTGGTTTTGGTAAACATTTAGCTACATTTTCTGTACATGACTGATAACAATATTTATTTTTTAATGTATTTATATTCTTAATAACAATCACATGAAAATGACAATGAATAAATGAAAATAGTGGAGAAAATGTGTTCTTTGTATATTTTCTACGGTGTGTGCACGTGTGTGTATGTGTGCATGTACTTCGTACGTTTTCTATTGTATTGTAATATTTGTACGTTTTTGTCTGTATATGTGTCGTTTTTAGCTCACCTGCCCGAAGGGCAATTGCGCTTATGCCGTGGCGCAGCGTCCGTGGTCCGTCGTCGTCGTCTGAGGTTGGTTCGATCCCAGAGGTCAGGGGGTCGGGGCCCTGAAGGGGAACTTAGCTAAATTTGCTTTAAAACGCATCTCCTCCTAAACACCAGAGAGGATTTCAACCAAATTCAGTCTGAAGCATCACTAGGGGAGGGCAATCATTTTTTAAATAAATGAGGTTGGTTGGACCCCANAGGCCAGGGGGTCGGGGCCCTGAAAGGGAACTTAGCTAAATTTGCTTTAAAACGCATCTCCTCCGAAACACCAGATAGGATTTCAACCAAATTTAGTCTGAAGCATCACTAGGGGAGGACAATCATTTCTTAAATAAGTGAGGTTGGTTCGACCCCTGAGGCCATGGGGGCAGGGCCCTGAAGGGGAACTTAGCTAAATTTGCTTTAAAACGCATTTCCTCCTAAACGCCAGAGAAGATTTCAACCAAATTTGCTCTGAAACTTCGTTGGGGAAGGGCAATCATTTCCTAAATAAATGAGACTGTTTGGACACCTAGGGCTTGGAAAACCGGGCCCCAAACAGGAAAATTATCTAATATTTTGCTTTAAGATGCTAATACCCTCTAATTGCCTGAGTGGATTGCACAAAATTTGGTCAAAAACATTATTGAGGAAGAACAAACATTTCTTAATTGAATGAGGTTGATTGGACCCCTGCGCTCCTAAGAAATGGTACAGCTAGATTATCGTATTCTATGGTGTAGTTTTCATAAATTGTTAAAAAATGGTTTCTAGTTTTATAAAAGTTGAATGAAAATTAAAGTATTGTGCATCTAATTACATCCTGTAATATGACATATTACTTATTTCAAAATCTGTTAACCTGGCAACTCAATGGAGGCCCCTCATTAGTTGAAAGTCAGATACTGTGGTACCAGTTGGATTAGAACATATATCTCGTCTGGTTTTGAGGAAATTTCATATAAAGATGTACTAATGCATTCAGTTGTAATGACTTAAATATAAAACCAGGTGAGCGATACAGGTCCACTGGACCTCTTGTTACGTTTCCGTCTGCATATGTGTAGTTTTTACATTTTAGATTGTATATGTGTAGTTTGTACGGTTTCGACTATATATGTGTAATTTATACGTTTTTGTCTGTATAGGTGTGGTTTGTACGGTTTCGACTGTATATATGTCGTTTGTACGCTTTCGACTGTATATGTGTAGTTTGTACGGTTTCGACTGTTTATGTGTCGTTTGTACGCTTTCGACTGTTTATGTATACTAGTTGTTTGTACGTTATAGACTTTATACTAGTCATTTGTACGGTTTCGACAGTATATGTGTCGTTTGTACGCTTTCGACTGTTTATATGTACATGTAGTTTGTACGTTTTCGACTGTTTACATTTAGTTTGTACGTTTTCGATTGTATATATGTGTTGTTTTTACGTTATCTACTGTATATGTTATGATATTTATATGTACTGAGAAACTTCTACATATACAGTCTGTATAGTATGTGATTTTATTGGTAAACATACGATAGTGGTTTTCAAATGAAATTATATATATATATAATAACAAAGTATAACGTTGTTTTAAAACAATTTATAGCACATGATTTAATGAGCTCCGTGGATATGATGGATTGGTTTGCAGAGACACGGCAACGTTAGCGCAGTGCTGTAATGTATGTCCGTTATTACGTATAACACGTGACAGCTTACATGGACATTAAATAACATTACATTTGTTGACTTGTACCTGATTTTATTCGGTTCATGTGTCACATCAAGGAAAACGGCCTAGATCCCCACCCCATAATAATCCTACATACACTTACTGGGCATGAAGGTATGAATACAAACACGGCACTGAGATCCCCACCCCATAATCATACATACACTTACTGGGCATGAAGGTATGAATACAAACACGGCACTGAGATCCCCACCCCATAATCATACATACTCTTACTGGGCATGAAGGTATGAATACAAACACGGCACTGAGATCCCCACCCCATAATCATACTTACACTTACTGGGCATGAAGGTATGAATACAAACACGGCACTGAGATCCCCACCCCATAATCATACATACTCTTACTGGGCATGAAGGTCTGAATACAAACACGGCACTGAGATCCCCACCCCATAATCATACAAACTCTTACTGGGCATGAAGGTATGAATACAAATACGGCACTGAGATCCCCACCCCATAATCATACATACTCTTACTGGGCATGAAGGTCTGAATACAAACACGGCACTGAGATCCCCACCCCATAATCATACATACTCTTACTGGGCATGAAGGTCTGAATACAAACACGGCACTGAGATCCCCACCCCATAATCATACATACTCTTACTGGGCATGAAGGTCTGAATACAAACACGGCACTGAGATCCCCACCCCATAATCATACATACTCTTACTGGGCATGAAGGTCTGAATACAAACACGGCACTGAGATCCCCACCCCATAATCATACATACTCTTACTGGGCATGAAGGTCTGAATACAAACACGGCACTGAGATCCCCACCCCATAATCATACATACTCTTACTGGGCATGAAGGTCTGAATACAAACACGGCACTGAGATCCCCACCCCATAATCATACATACTCTTACTGGGCATGAAGGTCTGAATACAAACACGGCACTGAGATCCCCACCCCATAATCATACATACTCTTACTGGGCATGAAGGTCTGAATACAAACACGGCACTGAGATCCCCACCCCATAATCATACATACTCTTACTGGGCATGAAGGTCTGAATACAAACACGGCACTGAGATCCCCACCCCATAATCATACATACTCTTACTGGGCATGAAGGTCTGAATACAAACACGGCACTGAGATCCCCACCCCATAATCATACATACTCTTACTGGGCATGAAGGTCTGAATACAAACACGGCACTGAGATCCCCACCCCATAATCATACATACTCTTACTGGGCATGAAGGTCTGAATACAAACACGGCACTGAGATCCCCACCCCATAATCATACATACTCTTACTGGGCATGAAGGTCTGAATACAAACACGGCACTGAGATCCCCACCCCATAATCATACATACTCTTACTGGGCATGAAGGTCTGAATACAAACACGGCACTGAGATCCCCACCCCATAATCATACATACTCTTACTGGGCATGAAGGTCTGAATACAAACACGGCACTGAGATCCCCACCCCATAATCATACATACTCTTACTGGGCATGAAGGTCTGAATACAAACACGGCACTGAGATCCCCACCCCATAATCATACATACTCTTACTGGGCATGAAGGTCTGAATACAAACACGGCACTGAGATCCCCACCCCATAATCATACATACTCTTACTGGGCATGAAGGTCTGAATACAAACACGGCACTGAGATCCCCACCCCATAATCATACATACTCTTACTGGGCATGAAGGTCTGAATACAAACACGGCACTGAGATCCCCACCCCATAATCATACATACTCTTACTGGGCATGAAGGTCTGAATACAAACACGGCACTGAGATCCCCACCCCATAATCATACATACTCTTACTGGGCATGAAGGTCTGAATACAAACACGGCACTGAGATCCCCACCCCATAATCATACATACTCTTACTGGGCATGAAGGTCTGAATACAAACACGGCACTGAGATCCCCACCCCATAATCATACATACTCTTACTGGGCATGAAGGTCTGAATACAAACACGGCACTGAGATCCCCACCCCATAATCATACATACTCTTACTGGGCATGAAGGTCTGAATACAAACACGGCACTGAGATCCCCACCCCATAATCATACATACTCTTACTGGGCATGAAGGTCTGAATACAAACACGGCACTGAGATCCCCACCCCATAATCATACATACTCTTACTGGGCATGAAGGTCAGAATACAAACACGGCACTGAGATCCCCACCCCATAATCATACATACTCTTACTGGGCATGGAGGTCTGAATACAAACACGGCACTGAGATCCCCACCCAATAAACATACTTAAACTTACTGGGCATGAAGGTCTGAATACAAACACGGCACTGAGATTGGCTTCCGAAGCCAAACCAACCTCTGAATTTAATCTCTGATTTCATGTTTTCTTCCAAAGTGCATCGTAATTGTTCTTATTACCAAAAGCACTGTTAACTTGCTAAGGCTAGTGAAAGGTTATACAGGTCATCCACTTACTCAGCTATTGTAACAGGGCACCAACCCCTGGCCATCCTCGATATCCAGGAGTTACGCTCACTTTCGCTCTCTGCACCCCTGGAATATGTCATGGCAAAATTGAAGGCACGAAGATAGCTGTTTGATTGGTCTCAGGTAAAAAAAACTGACCAATCGCTAGGCTGATAGATGTCAAAGGAGAGACGCCAAACTTCAAAGTCTGTCAATTTTTACCGTTACATGACCGCGATAATCTTTTGATGTACATCAAAGGAATTTTGTTATGACATATTAGTGTAGAGAGCGAAAGTGAGCGTATCCCCTGGATATCGAGGATGACCTCTGGCCAGTTCTAATGCTAGTTCTAATGCTGTACCCAGGTGACCGTAAGGCCTTTGGGTTTCTTGTGTTTGGATACAAGCTCTATAATGCTATTTAAAGAACTTGTTATGCATCGCCGCCATATAACTTAGGACGGAGAGAAGTAATAACTAACAACGCAAATAAACAACCAAAAATTAGTTAAAAAAACGTTTATTAAAACTAAAATGGGAATTTTCCCCTCTTGACAGATGTCAATTCTGTGTTTAAGCCTTTCCGAGTCAAAATATGTCTCTTTCTTAACGTTTGTTCTGGCGTTACATATTGATAATACTTTTCAAGGAATCATATATGACGCTTGTTACAAGCTTTTTGATTGGTTTATATATTCCATTCATAACTCCATTTTGAAATTCGATGCTGAGCTATTTATTAAGTTTATCAATACGCGCTAAAAATGAGAACACTATTTGCTTGAAAAAGATAAATTTAAGCGTGTTTAAGATATATGTTTTACGATATAAATGAGAGAACAAATATAATTTGTGTTGAATCCAGTAATACTTTTAAATGTGAAAGTAGCGATAGAATAAACAAAAAAACGAATTTAGAGGGAATAATCTTATTTCAAGGACACACGGAGTCACTTGACATGAAAACTGTGTCATTTTACCATAGCATTCGTGTGATCGTATTCATGCTCTAAAAGGATACATTAAATGTATCTGTCTCCAAAATAAGGGTTTAGATAAAGCTTAATATATGTGTTTATAAGAGGAAATCTATCAAATGTAAGCTACCATACAGTTTAAATATAAATATGATAGACCTTTATTTCTCGATACAAATCGGATCATTCATAGATACATGCTGACGTGGAAATAGTCAGGTAGAGAAAAGACTAAACATGGTAGACATGTATCACTTGTGAAACAAACATTGCCAATCGATATAGGATTATTGAAAGACTTGGATTGAAACTGAGTATTTTGATGTGAATTTCTGTTTATCAATGACAAAATTGGACAGTAATGCTTGGTACAAATAGAAGCTATTACGTATAATTTGGTAATGCAATGAAAACCTCCATTTATTTAATAACATGATCTTGAACAAAATCACACACACGAAAGTAAAGAAGATTTTAAAATGTGAAAGAGAGATCAAAGTAAAAATCATCGATTGGTATAGAGGTGCGACAGTTACTTACCATTCTTGGGTTGTCTCCCCTTTTCTGTTTATTGCGGGCCATTGGGTATTCTAGGGGGACCCCTTTCTGATATAGTCTGAGACAATGTCCCCGTAGGTACAGAATCAGATGTTGACTTAATTGCATAAAAAAGAAGCTCACTGATGATTGCTATCATCTAAATGCCCTAAAATAGTCACAATATGATTGTAAAATTACATGCTATTCCCTATAACAGAGATATGCCAAATTTACAAATCATATGATAATGGGAATACCGTTTTTGTCAATCTTAAACATAAATTAAGCATACTGGCTTTTTTACGTGACACATTGTTAAACAAAACATAACTGTAAGATAATTTGTTTTATCAATATTTAAATCAATATGATAATTATTGATAAAGCGCGCAGCAACATGCATTTTTTCTCTCATTTTATCGCATACAGACACTGTATAATATACTGATATAAACGAGGATCGCATATATGATATGCATACTATGACATATCAACATGTTGGCTATAACCTCTACTGAAGAGATTTCAGTCCGGTTGATATCGCGGGTTGTAACAACCTCTACTGAAGAGATGTCAGGCCGGTTGGTTTCACGGGTTGTAACAATCTCTACTGAAGAGATGTCAGTCCGGTTGACATCGCGGGTTGTAACTGTTATCTCCCAGTAGATTTCAGTCCGGTTGACATCACGGGTTGTAACTGGTATCTCCCAGTATATTCCTTTTCACGACTTCCATATAGGTTCCCCCGTCACTTTTCATTGTAGCGTCATAACCACTAGCATGACATTTTGAAATTGGTTTCCAGTTTGGAGATGGCTTGAAGGACGTCGTGATTTTCTGAATATGGGATGAAAATTTATAAAAGAACATCACTTTCATGCATTTGTTCAAAATACATTTGGTTCTTACTATGATAATGGCATTTGCGATAAATTTCATTTAAAAATGTCGAGGTAATTATTTCTCTTGGGCGTAGAGTAGAATCTACTGGCAGTTTATGAAGGCACTATCGATGTTCTTTACCTTACTTTAACATTACTTCTCTTTCCAAAATTATAAATGTACAGAGAAAACATATTTACAACAGTATACAATATCAAATGTAATATATACGGAGGACAAATCAGGAGACTTTTTTTTGTTGTTGATAAATTTGCATAAATTTCTGGAAATTTTAACATTGTATTCATTAGTTCTGAGAACTTTTAAAACAATATTTGTATTTGTATAAATATAACTTCCTTTCTGTAGACAGAAAGAGACAATTTAACAAGTAGTGAAATTCGTCAACAATGTCTTGGGTATCGCATCAACATTATTCCATCTTTCAGTTTCCACTATAAACTTATGATTACTAGGTCTTTTACACAATACAATTCGTTCATTTTCAGTCAACAATTCTAGATAATTTTCAAAATTACCATTTTATTTATATGTTCTGTAACACACCGACTTGGAGGAATTAAAAATGTCATTACTCCACTTTTGTAAAAAAAACAAAAAAACCTGGTCATTTAATATTTGCTGTGTAATAGAGTTTTACCCATAACGGGTTCCTATGTTCCAAAAACTTGGAATTCAATATATATATATATATTAGTCAACATTCATTAAAAGTACTTTTTATTACTCAAGTAGGGAAATAATTTGTTTTCATTATTAAAAACATGATATAACATATTCTACAAAACAATATTCAATTTACTCTTCTCATGAGCGAAGAGTAGAATCTACTGGCGGTTTATGAAGGTACTATTGATGTTCAGTCATAGATAGATGGATACGTTTTCACTTAAGCAACGTTATATAATAGTTTAAATAGGGTTTTTAATAGGATATAAGTGGACGCAGATATTGCTGCCTCTATATCAACATCAATATAATTTTAAATACAATGTGGTAAACATAAAAAAGTCTACATATAAGATGCTGTATGATGGTACTTCAACTCAAGCTATTTCCAGATTTAATTTATACACGAGGGTAGTTCTACACGTCCTATATTAATGTTTAGTGACAGAAAGATACGTTTTACTTAAAAACAAACTTCATATATTATGTTATGTATACGAGTGTAGTTTCCAATTTACACGTACCTCCCTCAATGTTTGTCCCGGTGCTCCACGAATCGTCAAAAAGGCACAAATCGGAAGTGGAATGATCGGTACCATTGCCAGAAGGAAGCCAATGACTGACGTATATCCGGGGTACTCGTACTCCCCGTATGTTGGGGGTTTGTAGGTGGACAAGGTAAACAGCAGAAGAAACTGTCAATACACCAATGCTATCTCAACTTAACGTCAAATTTGAGGTTTGTAATACACTTTGTTTTTATTTTGTGTTTTTTTGTTTTCGGGATACATGCATACTTAAATACTTCGTTAGTTGTCAGTGTCATTGGATAACGGAACGTTTTCTTCTATAAGAACAGTTTTCTTCTATTTATCTGTCGCTTTTAATATGAGTTTAAAGAAAGAACTAATTAATGAAACAGAAAACCATGAACATATCCTTTCTCTTACCATGAGGACAGCAGGCGTGACAAAGCACCAGCACACTCTCATGAATACAGGCACTCCTCGATTTAACATCAGTTCTATATCACGGGCAAATCTGTCCGCACCTGTTAATGTATAATAGTTTAACAAGTATAAGCTGTCCAAAAAGCTAAGAGAGGGCTACCAACAGCATTATTCATTAGTAAGCAGTTATAGTAAAGTTTGAGATAGATGGGTATGTAGAAGCTCGCGTAGTTATGCTGATAATTTATTTAAAATATATATAATTTGGTGGTCAGTGCGTCCACGAGCGGACAACTTTTAACCTGTTGGTCAGGTGGTACTGTGGAGTTTCTCTCATATACAAGTTGTGAACAATGTTACGTCGCATTACTGCAGGATTATTCCTCAGTTGAAGGACAGGCCTTTTTAAGGCCTGTACAAACCCTGTTACATAATATATACATGTGATTTAGTGTAAATGCCCTAGCAGGGACCCCAATATTCGATGAGAAAAAGATAACATGAAAAGCATGCAACCAATGACAAGTGCTACTTAAAGTATAAGAATTATATCCATGACAGGGAAAACCGGGACCAAATATTTATTTCAAGTATTTTATGTTGTTGTTTCATGTAGGAAATACAAGAACACCATACTAAATGTATAAATGAAATAAAAAAGATATGTGTCAACTACTTGTAATTACAGCTTTTGTGATTTTGCTTTTTGGATCTGTTTTAAATCATAATGCAATGTATATATTTTCCTATAAACTTGCGCTAAAATACATTTTTATTCATGTCATATCAATTCATTAAGGTAGTTGCATTTAAAAACATGAAAGAAACACATTTAAGCACTTAGTCCTGGTTTTTCGTCTGGTTCTGTTATTAGTATGACCCCGAAATGACACACATATGCCAATTCGGAGCTCTCTGATCTTATCAATTTTCGACCATGACCAAACAACGGCGGCGTGGAATAACAGAACAATGTCCAACAATCCTGTAAAAACATGCGGATCTCTCTGACGTTATCCACTTGTGCCTCTACGAATGGTGACATCACAGACAGCAGGTAACCAATCACTGCGTGTAAAGTATGTTAGCGAGCCAAACAAAGTAGACAGACTATTTATATGTGGAAACCCCTCAATATGGCTGGTACAGTGACCAATTTTGATGGTAGCAAACATATTTTATTGCCATGCAAATGGGTTGGGCAGGGTATTTTCTACCTAATTTACTTCAGTGACCTGGTTAAACCTGTGTAAAGTTTCTGTTTCTCTCCTAAAAAGAACAGACATATACATATAGATAACTTTGTCGAATACCTAGAAAAAACTGAAACATGAAATTTGAATACAATCGAGCCTCTTAAAATATCTGGATAAAGCTGCTACTGGTTACTGATAATTTTATAGAAAACAGGAGAAACACGACTCCCAACGCACTGTGTGATAATGATATTAGGACGACTGTATCATGATCAGAGATAGCTGTATTCACGAAGCAAGATTAGATTAAGAAAAGAAAATCAATAGGTATCTTCTATACATTATCAAGGAATAAAAAAAAAAATATGGTAGAGAACGTATAATATATGAAGTATTTCAGATGTAGTAAGATATTGTGTAGATGCTGACTCCGAGGACTGTAGTCTAAACCTATTACTATTCTGATACTGTATCTATTCCGTCTTTGCGTATTGCAGAGTTATCTTCTCTTGTGAGCAGGTATTGAGTGTTACGTCATTTGTTTGTGAGAGTAACGTCATCAACTTTTGAGAAAATAACGTAATTTTCTCACACAAACCGATGACGTAACAATCGATACCTGCTCACAAGAGAAGATAACTCTGCAATACGCAAAGACGGAATACACTGTTGGTTTATCATAGTATGTTATTGATGCTGCCTTGCAGAATTTGATTATAGATATTTACGTTGCTGATAATTTAAGTATAGATGTTCACATATAACCACCTAATTATTTCAGTATAACTGTAAAACACTTCCACTTTCATTAAAGGACTTTGAGATCCTGTTGGATAACCATCTGAAGGCCACTATTTACAATAATTACTGATAATGACTTTTAAAATAACTCTTTTGGGAAAGTTTATATATGTTAACCAGTGACAATATAATATTTTTATACTATGTTTTGTGATATGGACTTAAAGGCTTTAAGTCTGCGTCCATTATTTTTCAATTACATTCAATTAAATTACTTCAGTGTAACAGTTTATATACTCTCGTATACGTATTTTTAAAATTCAACTGTATACACACCTCAACTTAATTATTGAAGCATAGCTGTTTGTATACTCAATTCTAATAATTTCATCATAAGTGTTTACATACCGTAGAACCATCCAATAACAACAGCTTCCAGTAAACCGAACAGGGGCAGCGAGATCGAGGCTACGTACCAATCCACCATTTGGAATATGTATATTCCTCCCTGTCTCAAAAACATGAACATACTAATTTAGAGATATGTCACTGGAATCAAATGTATACTGATTAACGAACGCAAAGCAACAGAAAATATGTACAGCGTTAAATTGTGAAAGGAAGACTTGTCGAGGTCTCCATCAGCAAACTCCAAGACCGTTCCCTACGTTGTATCTAGTTCTATCAGATGACGGTGTGTGAAACCTAGCATTTTGTTTCGAATATTGACCATGTAACCAACGAAATGAAGACTAACTGCTTCTCTAAAGCCTCTTTTCTAATTTAAACAATTTATTCCGTATTATATCAGCATTTTAACTAATATGCTAATGAACATTTTTTGGAAAATGCACGAGTTGTACCCCTTCCTTTGAAGCAGACCTTTTTACAGCAACGGCACGACCATTTGTGTTATAAAAATCAGCTTAAGGAGTAAGTGATATTTAGTTACCTGAGTACAGATCAGGAGGCCAGCTAAACACCACCCACCACACATGATAGCGGTGAAGATCATCCTCTTCCTCCTCAGAGAGGGGAATGTGTCCGTGAAGGCGGTACATACAGCCTCTATGTGGACGAACTAAAAAAGGAAGGGTGCGATTTAGTACTGAACAAACGAAGAAATACCCATCAATATCTTCATAAACAGAGAAGTAAAAAAAATAAGGAAAACCTTGATATGCGAGTAAAATAGATAGATATGAAGCATTATCTTGCGCGCAATTATCAAACACAGACATGTCTATATTTAGCGGTAACATTCAGGACATTTTCCGATAGTTAATAATAGTTGTTCTTTATCGCATATAACCTCTCTCTATTTCAAAAGTTTGCTTTTTTAAATCAAAGTAAAGAAATCAAAGTAAAGAAGAAAACATTTGTGTATTCGGAATGAGTTTCACCAGCTTGGTATCCATAACAAATGCGAAGTTTATTTTGCACCCTTGCTTGACAAAGGACACAGACGGTATCGAAAACTTGTAAAATATGTAATCTGAACTATAACACTTCTGTGTGTTAAATCCGGATCAAAATATTTCGTTGCAATTCCAGTTGACGTGGTATCTACCTGACTGTCTAGTCCGACCGTCAGCAGCATGATGAAGAACAGGGCTGCCCAAAGGTTCGGAATCGGGAGCTGGGCCAGTGCTTCGGGGTAAGCTATGAACCCAAGGCCGGGACCTAGATAAAAAAAAAAAGGATCTTGATATAATATCTTCCTTTTAATAATACTGGATGTGAAGCTGGTTTAAGATAGCACTTTATCTTATATGATGAAGCAATGTAACCAAACCTTTATGAAACTTTTTTGCAATGATGTACCAATACTAGTACATCAATAAAACTTCTTAGGAATACTTCTAAATACATCTACTCAACAGAAATAAATATGTCCACGTTAATGAGTGCAAATAATGTTTATAAAGTACAAAAAAATGTCTACGAGATAAGTTCCTTCCGAGATAATCAACCGAGTTCAAATATAGAATTAACTAAGTCATAATCTTTATCGTTCAGGAAAAATAAAGTTAAAGTTGCTGTGCTTTCAATATAAAAAAAAAAGTCGTTACTCCAACAAAAACTCGTGACCCCTATCAAAATTCGTGACCCCTATCAAAAGTCGTGACCCCTATCAAAAGTCGTTACTCCAACAAACACTCTTGACCCCTATCAAAAGTCCCTTACCCATAACAATATTGATTTAAAAATTCGTAACCCCGAACGAAAAGTCAATACTCGAAATATTTTGTGTAACACATCGTTAACTGTAACGAAAGGTTGCGACCCCTTACAAATGATCACAGTTTAACAGTATTTATTTAAGATATTAGCCTATCGAAACGTTGTTAATCCTAACAAAAGGTGGTGACCCATAGCATAGTTTCTGGCTTGTAGTTATGTACCTGATTTAGCGATTTCAGATATTGGTAGGTTGGCCTTGTTTGCCATGAACCCAAGCACGGAGAAGACGACCAATCCGGCGTATATACTGGTGCCCTCACTCATAAAGGTTAGCACTATGGCATCTCTGTAAATAGACGGTGACATTAACTGGATGATGAGTATCTTGCCATATACATACATTAAGAAATCATCAGAGCGAATCAACACATTATTTCAACAGTGAAACAGATCTGGACAGATATACCAATTCAATTACTAATGTAAATTTGCCCGAATAAATTTCTTTTCTTACTTGGATAAGTTATTTTATTAAAACTCCTAAATGTTTAGTCTTGGTTTATTGAAATACGAGTTAAGTCGCCAAATGTTTGCATTTATTAGAAAGTTGAAATGTCTGCATTTGTAAGAAAGATAAATAATTGGCATCTGTAAGGAATACCGGTAAACTGCTGACGAGTTGCTGGTAATAAAACTCAAGTCTCCTCTAGCCTCTGTTGAGCGGTGATTGTTTTATTCATGATCAATGAGCTTGTTTAAAATAAGCATGCAGACTAATCTAGTTAACTTCAGGAGGAAGACAGCATGGCACACATTTAAAAAGCGCTTGTAATCTAGTGTGACAATAACGGAGGAGCTTTGATCACAAATGTTGTCGAAGATATCTAGTTGTAAACACTGTGAAGTTTCTTTATATCAGGTATTGTTTTTTTAGCTTGTTCATAGAACTACCAGGTACTTAAAATGCTTTACATATTTAATCAACACTGCATTGGTGTTGACAGTAACCACATCAAGTATACCCAGTTCGATATCCAGTACTGTTTCCATAGGGCAATTGGCATCTACGACATAAGACAGATTCTACACAAAAATGATCTATTTAAAATGATTTGTCATCAGGGGATGTAAACAGTTTGTTATTGGTTCTATGTTGTATGTCGAATAAATGCCTTTCTTGACTACGAACAAATATAAAGCATAATGATTTTAGAGGCACACCCATCGGATATAGACAAAACGTACCTGTAGCAATTGTTGTTGAACTTGTTGTAGCTTGCCATAGTAATCATAGGGCCCCATGCAGGACCGAGTGAGTAAAATACCTGCAGCGCGGCCTCTATCCACACCTAGAAAAAGGATCAAACACACATTATACAACTTTCAAATGACTTGCTTTGAAATAAAAATAAATGTTTTTTGTAAAAATCTCGATACTTGCAGTTTTGATTTATGACTCATATCATATTTCCATAGATTTTTCTGTCCTGACTCCGTGTTATCTTTTAAGCATATGAATTGGTGCTCGAGATAGGATAATGCCGCAAAATTCAAATTACAACCAGAAATGTACATCAATTCGTTAAGTATGAGGTTGTTTTCTTGTTTATAATTTTCAAATTCAATTTTACTTAACAAAGCCCTTAACTTCTAGATTAAAAAAAATCATTGAGTAAATATCGCATGTAAGCACACTGTCTTAATATTGAGTCAGGACGTTACAATGCCGTCCCAAGAGGCCAAAGAATATGTACTGTCTGTAACAAAAATGGACTTTGTCCAGCTTATTCTGAGTTAAGAAATACATATTTGAAACAATATTATTATCGACATCCTAGTGTCTATAAATTGATTGAATTATTTTCATGTAAAAATGTCAAAACTTTAAGTAAACTTGGTAAATATTTATTGCATGCAACGGCCAAAAGAAAAGCCCTTGTGGGTCAGTAAAATTCTATATGTTAAATGTGAACCATGAATTATCCTCCGCCATCTTGTATATTGTACTTTACTATGAACCATGTGTGATGTAACTGTATAACCTATATGCTGTATTGCATTTGGTAAATAAAAAACCACTAGGTTAGAACTAAACTATTTCTTTGTTTGGTAAAGCTGCCCATCAGATTTCGTTATTTGCTCAACGCCTTACTGCCATTGAAACTCTTTGTGCATTTCAATGAATAATTCATCTGTTCGTTTTCAGTCTGGGGTTTATAGTTTGTCTGTCACTTTTACAAACATCTGTAGTAACTTTACGTTTAACATAAGACAAGCTGTGTAAATTATTTCCATGTGTAGTGTCTCAAAGAAGTGCAAAAAAACTTCTGTACTGATTCCGAGACATGTCGGAAATAAAGTTAATGACAATGCTGACAGAACAGCTAAATATAATCTCCAACCCACTTATATAAAACTGCCACATACAGATTTGAATCCCATTATTCGATCTGCCATTCAAAACGAATACCAGCAACGATGGTCTCTCGAAACCAACAATAAACTAATAAAAGTGCAACCAAAACTTAAAACCTGTCTGCCTAGAGGGAATGGTCGCAGATGAGAAGCTCCATACTGGTCAGACTTATCTAACTTATTTGTATCTTCTGAAGCGGGAAGATCCACATATATGACAAACATGTGACTCCTGATTTAAAGTGGAGCATTTAAAATAGAATGTTAAGATTTTAAATACGTTCGTGAAAAACACTTCCCGGATATGAAAACCTTTTTATGTATGTCAAGTTACAGAAATTGTTGAACTATGTAAATTACATTGATCTATTCTAGAGGTGTGAATACTATAACAGGCATGCCCCATTCTAACGGTAAATATACATCTCATCTTTTCATTTTATCTATTCATTAAATTTCGGTATTTTGTCCATTGCCCACTTTGATATCCTACTAATGTAGTTTAGATGTATTATTTTTGTTCGGTAAGGTCATCGCCCTATTTAACAAGAATATTCTGCCTTATAATGTTAAACATACAAACGAACTATGTGGATTACATCTTTCTTTTACTAGCGGTTGGTCTTCCAATTCACGATAACTCATAAAATTGATTAAAACTCGAGCAAGCTCAACGTTTCACCTGCATATCAGCTAGTCTTGTAAAGTCCGGAGTTAAGTAAAACAGGACACCGTCGGCTGAACCTGGCAGAGTCAGTCCCCTGACAAGGATGACGGTCAGCAGTATGTACGGTAGAGTAGCGGTCACATATACCACCTGGACAACATAATCATATAATAATACAGTAACACAGTTCCTCTGGACAACATAATCCAAACTAGTCAACATAACATCATACGAGCGTAGCCTTCGTGTCCATATGTACAACACAGTCACATCAGGTCAGCATGACGTCATAAAGATTGTACATTTAGGGATGAACGTAAAACACGATATAGTGAATTACAGTGTACCATATAACTGTTTCGTCCTCATCAAAGATGCTAAGGACATAAAGGTGAAAATCCATATTGAACTTAAAACTACTACTGAAATAGAAGGGGAGGAACATACAACTCCTTCATCATGAATTTCAAAAATAAGAGGAGTACTGGTTAATAATGATTGTAATATGCACATTATGAACCAGCCAACTAGTCAGAAGAGATTACTGTGGCCATACTTACAACAGTTATGATACAAGTCTGATCTTTATCTTTATCTCTCTTGTTGGCTTGGATGTTAGCGTGCAACGGGAAGGGGCTTAATAAGGGAGGAAACTGAATAATCCGGGAAAACTCACTTAGTGGGGCAGGTGATCCCATGCCCTTTCACGTCCGATCGGGAAATCGAACCCTTGTCGTCTTGGTGAAACGCGAGTACGCTATCCACTGCGTCACCCACCAACCGAGTTGTGGCCATGTATAAGTCAGTTGTACAAACAGAACAGGCTGAACATGTTTGTAGTCAAAACGAGGATAATAATTAATCAGCGATTCTGGTACGATTTATAGGAATATAGCTTTGATCATAACACAATTCGTTATTTAAATTGGCGCTTTTCTTAATTTCGGAAAACACATTGATACTTGAACATCCTCCGATCATAATTAGATTTGGAATCAACAGCCAGCCCTAGCCAATAAAAGGTATTGATGAAGTCACGATCAGCAAGTCCGAGTCTCATAATTCTCAAAGTTTATATACAATGTTGTAACAATGCGGAGCAATGACGGATATGTAGGTCGAGGTATCTTCTCTACGGGAGGATTTAACGGTCAGAAGGGAGGCTTGCTGAGGCTCTGATCATCACAAAAACGTCCAGGTATCATCTGTATATTGATTAAACCTTTTTTCCGATATAAAGATGATATATATATAATAAAGGAATGCGGTATATGACAGAGTCGCTGCTGTGATCTAAAAGGAACGTGATCTGATTATGGAATATGATGTTATTTAACGGATTTCATTGTGATGTCCCACATTATGGCCTAGCCGATAGAGGATAGAGGTAGCCCATACCAGGTATTGACTAGGTATAACAACTCTGTACATGTGGTGCACGGGAAACAATTTAATACTTGACACTACGCAATCGCAAGAGTGTACTCAACTATAACATTTGGAATTGACGGTAACAGAGGAAAGGACATATTATAGCCGAAAAAAATCCGGCAGGACCGATGAGAGACCGCATAGCATTATAATAATGTCTTACATCTGGCAGGCCTATCCCGTGATCCCTATTGCTGTATAAAGTTCAAAACCCCTTGCCCCTCGGACTTGACTGTCGATAACTCATTGATCCATTACAATCACGTTCTGTTCCTTTAAAAACCCTTATGGGACAGTAATAATTACACAGGGTTCACTAAACATCGAGATTTGAATTAAAGCTAAAACTTTACTCTTTCGTTTTCGGCTAAGGGTCGTCGATACCGTTCGTTGTTTAGTTTGTTACTGCCCCTACGGAACCAATGTTATGATGCAAGATTAACAGCCTTCCGGCGTCGCTTCCCTCAATCCTACTGACCTCTACTTTCCCATACGGATTCACTAACATACCAAACAAGCATTGCTAATAGATATATTTTATTACAGTGAAGATAAGTCACAAAACAACCAATACATTCTGTTAATAGCACTTCCTGTAAACTTGGGTATATATTTGGGTTTTCCAGGTTGGAAGCTCGTGATGTTAGATGCTGAAATGAAGTCAGGATTGGAGAGTATTGTGAAGGTAACGCTGTACCATGGAAGAAAGAGATTTGTGAAATTGTGACCATGCATCTTCCATATATTTCATGTTATTTACTAGTTCGTCTTTTTTTTATATAAAATTGTTTCGTTACTTTTTGCTATTTTAGTCAACACGCATGTACTACGCGATTCAAATAACTTGTTTTTTGGCAAGTAAAAAAAATAACAAAATGCGTGCGAGATGTTTCGTACATGAATGAATTGCTCAGCTAAAAAGACGATAACGTATTGCCCCCTTTTTTCTATGTGTTTTATTAAAATTTAGTAAATACACAACCGTAAAGAATGTGTAAAGTATTAAATAACTGGGGTCTATTATCTTTTATGTATAATACATGATCACAATGTACATAGTGGGTACCTTTCCTAAAGACTTTACACCTTTAATCAGGCATAGGTAGACGAGAATCCAAGCGGCGATGAAACACACTGCCAAGTGCCATGGAACCCGACCGATGACGTCCAGACCAGATGACATACTTAACACTTTATACCTTCAAAAGCACACATTCTAGTATTTAATAAATACATTGATCCTGTCAATGGTATTATTTACCCTTATAAATGTGAAATTCTCCACCATTTAACAAAAGGATGAAAAAGCCTGGAATACACGTCGGTCTTGCTTACTCAATAAATAAAACATGTTTAATTTTCCCCTGTCGTAGAAAGATGAATGGAAGACACAAAAATATGGTTGTAGAAGTTATATATTAGAATCGCGCTACTCAATATCCAGAGACACATATTTTTACTCACATAGAAATACGTATGTACCAGCTTGATTAAATGGATAGCAAGCTTCTTTTTATTATGTTTTGAAAATAAAAGATATCTACTTACTGCCAAAATTCCTCTTCTGACGTAAGTCCATTGATAGCATTTGTCACTGAAGCGTGGTAACTGTTGGTACTATTTTGAAGAATCCCATTCACACCAGTGATATTGGAGCTGTTCCTTCCCGTGATATTACTACCACGAGCACCGCACGTGTCGGTGTTCCAGTCATTGGAACAGGTGCTCCAAGGGAGAGGGCTAATGAAGCTGTTACCGATATAGAATAGTGTCCAGGCTATGATGACGTTGTAGTACAAACCTATTATTCCTATAGCTATCACCATCCCTACTCCAACACCTACGTGATAAAATAAATCGTCATATAAAGCATTCCAGTTCCTACCCCTTTAGGACATAATAAATCATTCGTACTGTCTATAGAACAACATAAACCGTCAAATCAATACACATTAATTCATACTACACACAACTGTTACCATCCCATCAAACTTATAAATGCTTAATCAAACAAAGAAAGCAAGCATCATATCAAACTCGTATACATTTCATTCATTCCAATCGTTCTATTATATTATTTCGTTTTTGCGTATTGCATAGTTATCTTCTCTTGGGAGCAGGTATTGATTGTTACGTCATTGGTTTGTGTGAGAAAATTACGTCGTTTTCTCAAAAAATGATGACGTTACTCTCACCAACAAGTGACGTAACAATCAATACCTGCTCCCAAGAGAAGATAACTCTGCAATACGCAAAGACGGAATACTCATACTATGTGTAGACCCGCTTGATGATTATACCTTGTCTGACTATATATCAAATATTAAAACAACATATTTTGATTGGATGGCCTTACAACACATATGCACTCATTTAAATGTTTGTGTCAAACGACCTTCGGGCGTGGTGGCGCTTTATGTTAATTGCCTCTAAAAATCAAAGCATATGCCTTTTACATTAAAAGACTGAGTAAACCTCCCAATTATGACTGGAACCGTATTCTGTTTTACGTTTAAAGATTGGGAAAACCTCCCAAGCATGACTGGCACCCTATCTTTTTACCTTTAAAGATTGGGCAAACCTCCCAAGCATGACTGGCACTCCTTCCAGTAAATTGTCCAAGGCAGAGTTCCAAGAAATACAACGGCAGTCCGCATAAAACCAGGAAAATAAAGAACGGGATCAGAAATGCTCCTGAAACAGTGATAAACGTTGAACACGGTATAGAGTAGTGAAACCACAACGAATAAGATATCCTGTTATCAAATATCTAAAAGCTTATCGTAGTCATTTCTAGCTTTATATTTTTGAATTAAGGTTTAATCGGGCGGATCGGTGAAGATAGCTACAACTTGTACCTGTATCGTCAATGGACAAGGATACATGAATCCGATTGTCAACACTCCAATACAAAACGTACCTGATCGTCAGCACTCAAAGACAAAACGTACCTGATCGTCAGCACTCAAAGATAAAATGTATCTGATCGTCAGCACTTTAAGACAAAATGTACCTGATCGTCAACAATCAAAGACATTTTTTTCTGATTGTCAGCTCGTTAGGACAAAATGTGTCTGATCGTCAGTAGACAAGAAAGAATGTACCTGATTTTCAACATACAAGGACAAAATGTACTTGATCGTCGGCACACAAGGACAATATGTACCTTATCGTCAACTTACAAGGACAAAGTGATTGTCAGCTATAAAGGACAAAATGTATCTGATTGTCAGCACTAAAGGACCATATGTATCTGATCGTCGGGGCACAAGATAGAATATACCTGATTGTCAATACACAAGGACAAAATGTGCCTGATTGTCATTACACAAGGACAAAATGTACCTGCACGTCTGCACAAAAGGACAATATGAAGCTCAAAACTACGAACTCAAAATCGATACAAAATTCAACGATAGGACCTAAAGAGATACAACCCTCAAAACAGAGGATAGCATTAATCCTTACAAAGTATAAGTGTTCCTGGACTTGAAGTCGCTCCCGTCATGATGTTTCTCGCCAATTTAGGGAAGAATTAAGGTCACCAATAACTTGTGACATTAGATAAAAATAGGTAGAAACCATGTCTAAATGAGAACCGTCTTGTGTCTTTAACGTAGATACAAACCTTCCCTCAGGTACAACTCCTAGCTGAGTTGTTAATCGAGGCCACGGAATTAGAAACTACTGAGACTTGTACACCCAACAGATATGCAATGCTGACATGTTACAACTGATAAAAGGAAAGTTAACTATCGTGAAATCCAAGTCGTCGTGATTGTGATAGAGTGTGGCATTCGTGGCAAATAAGTAAATACCAAGTTACCTCAACAGGGTATATAATTATTTGTTTATCGTTCATAAATATGTGAAATGTCATGTTGTAACAAAAATCATGTACATATGCAGGGATTTAATATTCAGAAAAGACTTCTTAGGTTTAGAAATGATCATTTGCATGTTTGTGCTCGGTTGTATCATTTAAATTAATAAACAATTTATGATAGTTTTAGAATCCTAAATAGGGCTCATATTTAGGATTTATTTGATGTACCTGAACTAGAAAAGTAATTTTAAATAAGTATTCCTCAGGTACCCATTCACAATGCTTTCATGGCCATGGTGTTTGGGCAGACCCCTACGACTATAGCTTCCACACTACCTTAGACAAATTGGCAATATATCAAATGAGGAGTAACGTTTAATATAAGAGGAATGCTTAAACAGAATTGTTATCAGTCCGTTAAATAACAAACGTTGATATTAAAAAAATTAAGCTTGAAAAATAGGATCTGATACAAGACCGATAGCCCAAAAGTGTTTGTTATGAAGGAAGCTTTCTAAGTGAACTTTATATCGCCGTACAAATGGAATGGTACAACAATAACAACCAGTTTCTATAGAAATCACTTGCACAGACACGAAATAAATTTTGTCCTCTATAATACTCCATCTCGTATTTTAAAAAGACCATGATACAGTAGAACGTGCCTAAACCGGATGTCACCGGGACCAAACTATTTGTCCAGTTTTTGAAAATACAAAAATGGAGTGGTTTGCATACGATCTGTATACAAGTGCTTCAACATAAACAACAGAGAAATGAATCAATCGCAACGTTTAATTATTAACAAAATATACAGTAAAANGAAATGAATCAATCGCAACGTTTAATTATTAACAAAATATACAGTATATAATATAAATGAAGGGCGACCCAACATTGGATAGTGCTAATTTGTTTAGAATGTGTTTGCTTTAGATTGTAGCCGGCCGAGAGAAAAGTGATGACCGGAATTAACAGGTTGTTTTAACATGGATTACTATGCCAACTTTTGTGAAACAACGCCGGTTTTCGGGTGGATCAGGGTCCGGTTTATACAGGGTTTAACTACTATGAGTATATAGGGGATATGCCGGAACCACAAACCACAGCCGGTTTAGACAGGGATCCGGATTAGATAGGGGCAGATTTTGACATGTTATATTGTATATGCAGGTAACTACTCGGTTGATATAATGACAAAACAGGCTTTTATAGTAATTGCATACTAAAGGCGAGAAAATGGAATACAGTGAAATACAATGATCTGGGCCGTTTTCGTTTAAACGGTCAAACCGGTCAGACCACAGTTGTTCGTTTATTAAATAAGGTCGGACCTGGTAATCTGATGCTGCTTTCGGGCGAGCCTTGACAAAGCCTTGCAAGGCCTGCATAAACATTTGCAGGTCCGCCACGATTTATACTCGAAATTGTTACATTTATAAACGGTCAAACCTGTTGTTCCGCATAAACGAACAGGCCCCTTGTGAAAGTCAAGGTCTATCTTTGATATGACTTGGAGCATGAAGAAGTAGGATTGCCAACATTGCCAAACCAACAATACACGTCACATTTACATAGTAGTATGTATACCAACAATACACGTCACGTAGGCAGTTTACATACATGTAGTAGTATCTATACCAACAATACACGTCACGTAGACAGTTTACATAGTAGTATTTATACCATCAATACACGTCACGTAGACAGTTTACACAGTAGTATTTATACCAATAATACACATCACGTAGACAGTTTACACAGTAGTATTTATACCAACAATACACGTCACGTAGACAATTTACACAGTAGTATCTATACTACTGTGTAAACTGTCTACGTGATGTGCATTATTGGTATAAATACTACTGTGTAAACTGCCTACCTGACGTGTATTGTTGGTATAGATACATACATGTAGTAGTATCTATACCAACAATACACTTCACGTAGACAGTTTACAGATCAGTATCTATACCAACAATACACGTCACGTAGGCTGTTTACACAGTAGTATCTATACCAACAGTACACGTCACGAAGACAGTTTACACAGTATTATTTATACCAACAATACACGTCACATAGACAGTTTACACAGTAGTATCTATACCAACAATACACGTCACGAAGACAGTTTACACAGTAGTATTTATACCAACAATACACGTCACAGAGACAGTTTACACAGTAGTATCTATACCAACAATACACGTCACGTAGACAGTTTACATGTAGTATTTATACCAACAATACACGTCACAGAGACAGTTTACATAGTAGTATCTATACAAACAATACACGTCACGTAGACAGTTTACACCGTAGTATTTATACCAACAATACACGTCACAGAGACAGTTTACATAGTAGTATCTATACAAACAATACACGTCACGTAGACAGTGTACACAGTAGTATTATACCAACAATACACGTCACGTAGACAATTTACACAGTAGTATCTATATCAACAATACACGTCACGTAGACAGTGTACACAGTAGTATTATACCAACAATACACGTCACGTAGACAGTTTACACAGTAGTATCTAAACCAACAATACACGTCACGTAGACAGTTTACACAGTAGTATTTATACCAACAATACACGTCACGTAGACAGTTTACATAGTAGTATTTATACCAACAATACACATCACGTAGACAGTTTAAACAGTAGTATCTATACCAACAATACACGTCACGTAGACAGTTTACACAGTAGTATCTATACCAACAATACACGTAACGTAGACAGTTTACACAGTAGTATCTAAACTAACAATACACGTCACGTAGAAAGTTTACATAGTAGTATTTATACCAACAATACACCTCACGTAGACAGTTTACATAGTAGTATTTATACCAAAAATACACGTCACGTAGACAGTTTACATAGTAGTATCTAAACCAACAATACACGTCACGTAGACAGTGTACACAGTAGTATTTATACAAACAATACACGTCACGTAGACAGTTTACTCAGTAGTATCTAAACCAACAATACACGTCACGTAGACAGTTCACACAGTAGTATCTATACCAACAATACCCGTCACGTAGACAGTTTACACAGTAGTATCTAAACTAACAATACACGTCACGTAGAAAGTTTACATAGTAGTATTTATACCAACAATACACGTAACGTAGACAGTTTACACAGTAGTATCTAAACAAACAATACACGTCACGTAGAAAGTTTACATAGTAGTATTTATACTAACAATACACGTCACGTAGACAGTTTAACCAGTAGTATCTATACCAACAATATACGTCACGTAGGAAGTTTACACAGTAGTATTTATACCAACAATACACGTCACGTAGACAGTTTACATAGTAGTATTTATACCAACAATACACGTCACATTTACACAATAGTATTTATACCAACAATACACGTCACTTAGACAGTTTACACCGTAGTATTTATACCAACAATACACGTCACATTTACACAGTAGTATTTATACCAACAATACACGTCACATTTACACAGTAGTATTTATACCGACAATACACGTCACGTAGACAGTTTAACCAGTAGTATCTATACCAACAATATACGTCACGTAGGAAGATTCCCCAGTAGTATTTATACCAACAATACACTTCACGTAGACAATTTACACAGTAGTATGTATACCAACAATGCACGTCACGTAGGCAGTTTACATAGAACATGTATTATCTATACCAACAATACACGTCACGTCGAAAGTTTACATATCAGTATCTATACAAACAATACACGTCACGTAGGCAGTTTACACAGTAGTAGCTATACCAACAATACACGTCATGTAGGCAGTTTACACAGTAGTATCTATACCAACAATACACTTCACGT